AAAAAAAAAAAAAAAAAAAAAAAAAAAAAAAAAAAAAAGGCACTGTTTTGTTTAGAGAGAACATACTATAAAGAAAGCGCGAAGGAGAGCACGGGGGCCTCCCACCGCACCCCACTGCCCAGCGGCTCTAACAGCCCCTCCCCCATAGCGCTGCACACTCTCCTGCTGTGCTGAGCATATTCTTTCTAGACACGTCTCAAAATGTCAACAACCTGAGTCAGGTTTGGTGAATTTCCTTCCAGTCCTCAGGGTGTGTCCACTCCACCCCCAAAGCAACAAAACACCCAGCGACCACCTCCTCCCATGGTCCCGCCCGGCCAGCAGGGCACCACACCTGCCTGGCCACTTCCCTAGGGGACGCAACTTAGGGAGCCCTTTAACTATCGTATGGATAAACATCATTTAATACAGCATAATCACAACTGTGCTTTGAGTTGTTTCTTCAAAATCAATTCCAGAAATAGGGTCACTGGGTCAAAATGCATGAACACTTTTACACTTGAAAAGGCAGGAGGCCTACAAAGGACTCGGGCAGCACTTCAGGGCCACAGAGAGAAGCCGGCTGAGCCACCTGCCCCAACGGGCCTCGAGAACGCTGCTGCAGAGCTACCAGAGGGAAGGGGGACCGGGGAGGGACCGCCCACTTCACGCCTGCCTGTGACCATCGTGGAGGAGCAGAGAACCGGCCTGGCCAGGAGGGCTGGGCTCCAACTCGTCACAGACACAGGCAGAGGGCACGGCAGCTGCAGCCCCCAGGACCGCTGGCAGCAGCTCTGAGCCCGACGCCCCTCGAGTGCGTGAAGGGGGCCCCGGGGACCTCAGTCTCTGCACCTGGTCCTGCAGGTGCCGCAGAGCTGGAAGGGCTCTGGGAGGGGCCGGCTGGGGCGCAGCCTGTCAATCATCTAAGATCTGAACACCTGCTGGGTTTGTTTCTTTGCCTGAGAAATTAGAAAAAAAAATTAAAGTTGACAGCCTCTTCCTCTGCAAATAAAGGTCTTATAGAAAAGCCAAAGTCAGAAAAGCCACTCACACTATAACAACTATCTTCAAGAAGCACAGAGGGGCTTCCCTGGTGGTGCAGTGGTTGAGGGTCCGCCTGCCAATGCAGGGGACACGGGTTCGTGCCCCGGTCCGGGAGGATCCCACGTGCCACAGAGCGGCTGGGCCCGTGAGCCATGGCCTCTGAGCCTGCGCGTCCGGAGCCTGTGCTCCGCGGCGGGAGAGGCCACAGCAGTGAGAGGCCCGTGTACCGCAAAAAAACAAAAAAACAAAACAAAAAAAAAAGCAGAGACGGGCGGTGGCCGAGAATAAAACATCCATCAAAGGTTCACAGAACTCAGATGAGTCTCTGGGCAGGCGTGTGGGGTGCGCCCTTCTCAGTTCCCCACCAAACTTGCTGGGACCCACAGGGCACCTCGGAGCAGCCTGGAATCTGCCCTCGCGCAGAGGAAGGGGGTGGGAGAGACCCTCGGTGTCAGCTGTCATGGTCCGATGCGGCCCCCAGGTCCCATGTGGGACAGGATTGTAAATCGGCGGGCCTGACCCCTGAAGCCCCTGGAGCCGGTGACTCCAGTGCGAGGCTCTGTCACCAGAAAGGCCTGAAGGACAAAGGCCAGGACAAACAGAAGACAGAGGAGCAGGTTTGGGACGTCCCCAGGGCTCCTCCCCTCCCCCCCAAGACGCTGTCAGGGCCTCTCCCCAGGAACAACAACACAGATTTCTCATATCCTTCCAGAAACACTTTATGCACGTGCCAGCAGAGAAACAGATTACGCCCCTGCTTTTGTTTGAGACACACTCTGAAAGATTCCCTTTGGTGACCCCAAATGCTTCCTCGTTCTTTAATCAGCTGCATTTCATTCCATCAACTGGAGGCATCATAATTTATTTCCCAGTCTCCTACCGATGGACACTTGGGTTGTTTTCGATCTTTTGCTAAATCGAACAGCACCGCCACGAAGAGCTCTATGCAAACCCCATGGATAAGTCCGTCCGTAGAACCGAAGCCTAAAGGCGGGAGCTTAGTTGGGTCAGTTCAGGGGTGTGCGGTCCGATCCACAGAGGTGGGCCACGGGCTGATCCACAGAGGTGGGCCACGGGCTGATCCACAGAGGTGGGCCACGGGCTGATC